AGTCTGGAGAAGAGGAGGCTGAGGGGAGCCCTCATCGCTCTCTGCAACTGCCTGAAAGGAGGCTGGAGCCAGGGGGGGTCGGTCTCTTCTCCCAAGTAACAAGCGATGGGACGAGAGGGAACGGCCTCAAGCTGCGCCAGGGGAGGTTTAGGTTGGATATTAGGAAAAACTTCCAGGCACACCTGGAAGCTAAAGTCCAGCTTCATAAAGATGCTCCAGACCTGGAAAGGCTCTGGCCTCAAATAGTCCATCTCATCTGACTCTGGAGATGGCTACTTAATCCATAACATGACAGCCTTCATACGGCATCATATGGCGAAATGTGGCCATTGCTTTCCACGGCCTTATGGGTTCCCTGGTCTGGGCAGCCGCCTGTGGAGCCTCTTCTCTTGCCTCAGTGCCTCATTGCAGCCATCTGCAGCCAGCCTTCTTTCCCCGTGATGCGGGGAGCTAAACAAAGGAACTGCAGGTGCCTCAAACTACCACCATGGGGTGTTAGGGAACGCAAACACACCACTAACATAGGGAGGCTACATCAGTAGGTACATTAACAATTTACACTCATCTACAAATTCTCTCCTTTTGAAAGATGATGGAGTATCACTGGCATCCATAATAGAAAGAGGCAAATGTAAGATTTCTGCTGTTTTTCATTTATAATCGTCCACCCAAGGTGCTTGGAGTTGGACTAGTCAGTCAGCAAAACCATCCAGATGGATGTCACCAAACCAGTTAACCAGTTTTTCCTTCTTTGTAAGCAGCAGGTTGAGCTGAGCACCTCCCTTGATTGGCTCCTCAATCACCTGTGCTAGGAAGCTGTCAGGAGTGTACTCCAGAAATGTCCTGGATCGTTTGTGCTCTGCTATATTGTCCCTCTGTAAGACACCAGGGTGGCTAAAGGCCCCCATGAGGAAGGACTAGGGCCTATGAGCGTGAGGTTTCCTCCAGCTGTTTCAGGAAGACCTCATCTACTTTTTCCTGATCAGGCAGTCTGTACAGATGCCCATCTCACATCACCCATGTTGGTCTGCCCGCTAATCCTGAGCCATAAGCTCTCAACCGGCTCATTGTTCACCCCAAGGCAGAGCTCCATGGATTCCAGCTGCTCTCACATAAAAGGCAACTCCTGCTTGTCACCTTCCCAGCCTCCCCTTCCTAAAGAGTTTGTATCCCTCCACTGCAGCACTCCTGCCATGTGAGCTTTCCCACCACATCCCTGTGACCTCAATGAGATTGTAGCCCTTTAACGGCATGCAAACTTCTAATTCCTTCTGTTTACTCCTCATACCAAGTGCATTAGTGTACAGGCACTTCAGAAAGGTGCAACACAGTCATGCTGCTTTCCCAAGAAAAGCTGAGAGCTTCCCCCATGCCCTCTCAGCATTTCCTTATTTGTGGGTGGGCTGCATTCTGCCCTGTTCTGTTGATTTGGAGGACTTTTAACCACATCACTCTGCACCTTTGCTCCCCAGAGCAGTCCACCACTTCCTCACTTGAATGTGAGTTATCACCTCCCTCCTATCTTATTCCTAGTCTCCTCGGGTTGGCCAGCCTTTTAGCAAAGATGGTTTTTTTACCCCACTTTTGTCAGGTGGATTCTACCCCTCTCTACCAGTCCTTGACCCCCAAAGAGGGTCCTGTGGTTTTAAAGTCAAGCCATTGTCAGTGACACAGCTGCACAACAAGGTGCTGAACCTCAAGATCCATCCACTCCTCCTTAAGCCTTTCCACTTCAGCAGTAGGATCAAGGAGAAAACCATCCGGGCCCTCTGACCTTAACCCTCACCCCCAGAGCCATGTAGTCACTCTTGACATGCTCAGAGACTCTCCCAGCAGGATTGTCAGTGCCCATGTGGGCTAACATCAAGGGGTAATAGTCTAAGGGTTGAACAGTCCTCAGCAACCTCTCCCTAGGATCCCAGACCATCTAAGCCCCCCAGGAAGCAACAAACCTCCCTAGAGAGCAAGTCCAGTTGCCAAATGGGCCCTCTGTTCCCCAAGGGAGGGAATATTCGTAATGAAGTTTAATAATGGGCAATATTGGTTTTTAAAAAGAGAGAGAGAGAGAGAGAAAGAGAGAGAGCATTAGACATTAAAACCAATCTGAAGTTCACTATATTTCTAATTGAAAACGTTTATTTAAATATATAACTTGTATATACCCACACACTGGTTTTCAATGGCATTATCGTCCTTGAGCTCATATCCGGTATCTTAGAAGGATGTTTTGGCTTTAGTTTCTCAAAATGTGTCAAATTAGATCACTTTTAACCTTAGCAGCAGCGGAGCACAAGGCAGAAAGTCCAGTGGTATTAAAACTTGCCCACACAGTAGTAGGAGTGACTTGAAACAAGTCAGGCATTCTTCCCGTGATGCTCTCTTCCACCAATCCCAACTTTACCCTTTCTTCCACCTCTCCTTTCGTCTTTTCCTTCTCTTCCCTTTTTCCCCTTTTTGCCAGTGACAGTCTTTTTGCATCCTGCACTGCTTGCCTCCGGAGCAGCCTGGCCTGTACTCTTCTCTGGGAAAAAAAACAAAAAAGGAAAACAAAACCCAACCCTTTGGGTGACCTTTGGTTTCTCTGGAACAGTAAACTGGAAGCAGGTACAAGACTTGAGGAAGTTCCTCTGTTGGCAGTTTATCAAATGTGACGTTAGCAGACACAACTCTCCGGTAGCTATGGCCACCTACTCGCTCACCTACGAACTCCCTAGCAAGCAATGACCACATACGGGAGTGCCAACGATACGCGTGTCTTCTCATAACCGTATCTGCGAATGTATTAACCCTGCAGTTCATGCTGACTATTAGTTACTCCAGGACTCAGTTAAACATTGAGAGCTTTGCACATAAGGTACAAAATGGATGCTAATCGCATTGCCCTTCATTGAAAAGCGCAGGAATCGGGAAACGGGGTGGAGGGCATCAGAGGCTCTCAGAGCAGCAGACTGGATCGCTCAAACTGCTCTGAGTGAGGGAACTTCAGGTCATTTTAAATTAAGCACAACCATGGGAGAGAAAAAAGAGACAAAACAAAGGAACAAACAAAAAGCTTTCTACCTCAAAATTAACTAGGAAGGAAGACGCTACTTAAAAAGAAGTTTGTTTATTGCTGAGAAAAATTCTGTCTACGGGAAGACATTCGCACTGTTTCTGAATTGAATTCACTGCATCTGAATCGAATGAAATTTGGCATTTGCCATACAGGAAAGGGATTACTACAAAAAGAAGCAGTAACTTATATAATTGCTAGTTAACATCCTAGCATCACCCAGCTGCACCCCTAACACATTACATTTTTAAAGACAGGGTAGTAAAATTCTGTTTTTTAAATTAATGCAATTTTCTTTCATGTTTAAGTCCTCCAGTGTACAACTGCCATATTACCCACCATTTGTCCCTGTAGTTTGATGTCTTGTCTTGTAGTTTGATGTCTTGTCTATCCTATCCTATCCTATCCTATCCTATCCTATCCTATCCTATCCTATCCTATCCTATTCTATTCTATTCTATTCTATTCTATTCTATTCTATTCTATTCTATTCTATTCTATTCTACAATAGTTTGATTCTATTCAGAGCCCATACTGGTAAGCACGTATGTTTGCTATAACTTATCTTCAGTGGGACAGACCCCACTATCCCCAACACATGGAGTTTTACATGTATCCAGATTTAAAACTCTCATCCCAGGCAGCCACTAAAAGACAGATTAATCACAGAACTTCTGTGAATACAGCAGTTCTGTATCCATCTTCACATTTGACAGATTTCTCATTCAATCTATGTGAGCATCTGGTATAATTAAAATAGTATAATTTCTACCATGCTAGTCTTCTACTGCTATGTAGCATGTGCCGTGTGTAATGTGGCCTCATTTTTGTCAGCACAAGTGTAGTTTCAAAGAACCACAGTAGCGTGGTATCAACAATTCCATGCATAAAAGTCAGAAATCTCATTGATTTCTCTTCTAATATACAGATAGAGGTGATTAAGAGGCAGAGTTTGTACGGAAAGCTCCACTCTGCCTAGCTTACTAGATCTATGGTGGTCCTTCAGCCTGGAAAATTGTCTATGGCTGTCCACAGTAGCCGACCTGTCTTAGAGGGAGCATTTCCTTTGCTCTGCGCGCACCTTAAAGATTCTTCTCTCTTGAAACTGAGAGTAATGACACAGCTGTTCAAGTGAATGAACTCAACCGTTTTATTTAAATTCTTTCATAAAACACATTTTACTGGTCTATTGCAAGGAAGACATTCCCAGGTCAGCACACATGCACAAACCACTGTACTCTTATAGTAATGACAGCCAGACTTACCCAGCAACCCCAGGCACTCCTGCCTATGCCGCTCATTCCAGGATTTCCTTCTGCAAGTCTCGCTGCAAGTGAAGATTTCATGACAGCGCATGCAAGGTGAAAGCTGAACGCCAACTGAACGTCCACACTGGTAGCAGTATTTAAAGAACGATAGTCTAGAACAAAGGTAGTTGTAAAACGAAAGCATGTTATTGTTTGTTTAGGGTTTTCCTCAAGCTGACAGCATGTTTGCAGCTCAGAGTAAAACTAAATCAAAGTGGCTACAATATAGAAATAATGTTCAACAATGATGTTCAACAAGAAAGGAACGGGAGACTGTAGCTTATCACAGGAGCCTGTGGGGAACAGACTGCACACCAGCTGCAGAGCCAGCCCCCAGAAACAGCGCCCCAAAAAGCCAAGTGTCCTAGTGAGAAACCAAGCCTCTACCAAACCAACATCCCCGTCCTGCCACACACCAGCACGCTGTGCGCCTCTGTGTCCTCATGACACTGGGTCTGGAGATGTCCATTTTCAAACTGGCAGGCAGACCAGATTATACATGGCCAGAGGTAACAAAGCCAAGCTGGCAAACTTAAAAAACCCCTCACAGAACCCACTGGAATACTGCAGAGACAAACAGGGACGCTCACAGGCCACTGCACTACAACAGTTATTCCAAAGTTGGAACAGAAAACGAAGAGTGCTTGGGCTAAGACTTTCAGTGGGACTGGGAAGCAGAAGTGCAAGCTCGGCTACGTATTTACATCCTTTTTAAAGTATTTAAGATCTTTAAGATCTTAAGATTATCTTTTTCCAATAGAATCACAGAATCGTTAAGGTTGGAAAGGATGTCTGAGGTCCTCAAGTCCAACCTGTTACCCTGACTGCCTGGTCCACCTCTAAACCATGTCCCTAAGCACCACATCCACATGTTTTTTGAACACTTCCAGGGACTGTGATTGCACCACTGCCCTGGGCAGCCTGGGCCAGTGCCCGACCACTCTCTCCATAAAGAAGGCTGAGCCCCCCCAGCTCCCCCAGCCGCTCCTCCCCAGCCTTGGGCTCCAGCCCCTGCCCCAGCCTCGCTGCCCTGCTCTGCCCACGCTCCAGCCCCTCCATGGCCTTCGTGGGGTGAGGGGCCCAGCGCTGAGCACGGGATTCGAGGGGCGGCCTCACCAGTGCCCAGTACAGGGGCACCATCACCTCCCTGCTCCTGCTGGCCACACTGTTCCTGATATATAGCTAGCAAGTTTCACTGAGGTTTCATTTGTCTCTGCAAGTCATGACTGAGATCTATTCATAAAATCTTTGTGTGCTACTTTAACCTTCCGGATTTTGTTTTAGTTCACTTTATGTTCTTCTGGATCTTTCTGTATCTTATGCTATTATTGATCCGTCTCAGTTCAACAAAAATGCTACCTCAAAATTTCTCTCTTCAAAAGCGCCCCAGTTCCTGACACCTCTGTTACTTCCTCGTGATTCAAATACTGAGACAAAGTTCAGAAGCCTGTGAATTCCCTGCAGCAGGAGAAACTGATGGCAGAATTCAGTATCCTTGAGGCAAGTAGTTCCATTATTATTCAAGCTGTTGTTCATACACAGTTCCAAGAATAACATTCAGAGTGGACAAGTCATTCCTGCAATTTCTGGAGAAATGTAAGCTACAAATGGGCCTATTTCTTAGCATTTTCATGCTACTCTAAGGTACTGATGTCATTAATTGGTTTAAAACACAAGGGCACGCTGCTTCTCACAAGGACTGAATATTATGCAGACTCTCATGTCAAAGTCTGAAGCTGAAAAAGAGTGATGTGAGCAGAGCAGAGAAAGAAGCTAACTGATCACTCTGGATAGAGTAGAGAGGAAAAGTAGAATGGAGAAAAATGGCAGGGTGACAATAGTTTTGGTGAGGAAAAAAAACAGGGTACAGTATTGTTGACTAAGAACAGTCAGTCCTTGAGCGCAGCATCTCTGCCCTACCTCACTTCTTCCACATGATGGCTCCCTCCGTTCTTCTTTGAAAGGCGCGTATGACCGGCTGAATCCACTACACCAACGAAAGCGGGCACCGGGGAAAACAAAAATCAGTATTCTGACTTGAGCATTAGAATACTAGTCACAAGATCCACCGTCATTAAAAGTCTGCTTGGCTCCGTCTGCTGTATAAAATTTGAAGATACATAATAAAATGCATCTTCCATCAACAGGCTTCAGGAGCCAAGAAAAAAGGAGCCAAGGTGCTACGTCACAGCCAAGAAGAAACCACATAGATAATTTACTCTTACGTCCTGCTTGTGACGAGCCACAGAGTCTCCGGTTATGCTGAACTGCAAAGGTAACAATCTTAGATTCAACGCTCACTTCCCAAGTGTGATACGTCTTCTGCCCCAAAGACTCGCATTCAGAGACCTAGATTCTAAGCCTGATTTCACCACACATTTGAGCACTACTGAGGATATAACTCAAATCATCTTAATTTATATATTCATTGTTGCTACTCTCATAGCAGAAGAGCATCGATACAATGGGAGTCTTGGGAAAGAACCTGAGAGTAAGTTGCCATAAGCAATGACAATACGCTAGATGTCCACAGTCACCATTGCGTGCATCCCGTTACCCTGCACTAAAGGCAAAGCAAGTCCAAGGTTCTCCCATGAAAGAGAAGCAAGCTCCTTCAATCACTCCTTAACTCGTGGTCCTAGATCTTGCACTGGGATTTACCAGGGAGCAGCTGCCAGGCACTAAACTCATATTCAGATTTTCTTCACAATGCCTTGTTCGTTCTCTTTAATGTTTGTAGACCCCCTACATCTCCTTACCAAATATGTAGGAGCAGTTTTTATTAGGAGTTACCTTTTCAGACAGTAACACTGGAATTATAACAATAAATTCCCCTTCACACCAGGTGATGCTACCCTTAATCTTGAACTACTCTTAGGCTTGAACTAACATTTCTTGGATCTTCTCAGCAATTCTTGATCCCACTCTTTCTCTTTCAGGATGACACGTTCCCGGAGCTTCGCTGTAATGTGTTCCAGCAGTGATCGGCGTGTTCGAAAAACTTCCTGCTCAGATGGTGACAGTATGTGGTATGGTGTGTGAGCAATTCTCCTATCCTGCAACATACCATGAGTTAATCCACTAATATACGGGAACACTAACACACAAGTGTTTCAGAGTTAAAGCCAACCCATTCCAAAAGCACAGCATCATCCCTGCTGGATCCTGGCTTGGAGCCCAGTCTGTGATATGGGGCACAGGACATGTCCAGGTTAGACATTCTAGCTGTTCCAATTATCAGTTCGGTGAGTGCATAACAGGTTAACTAAAATGATTTTCAAATGTTTCTTCAAGGTGGAATCATAGGATAGTTTGGGTTGGAAGGGACCTTTAAAGATCACCTAGTCCAACCCCCCTGCCATGGGCAGGGACATCTCCAACCAGATCAGGTTGCTCAGAGCCCCGTCCAGCCTGGCCTTGAATGTTTCCAGGGATGGGGCATCTCCCACCCCCTCTTTTAGTCTAAAACCATCACCCCTTGTCCTATCACTACAGGCCCTACTAAAAAGTCTGTCCCCATCTTTCTTATCAGCCCCCTTTAAGCACGGCAAGGCCTCAATCAGGTCTCCCCGCAGCCTTCTCCTCTCCAGGCTGAACACCCCCAGCTCTCTCAGCCTGTCCTCACAGCAGAGGTGCTCCAGCCCTCTGGTCATTTCTGTGCCCTCCTCTGGCCCCGCTCCAACAGCTCCATGTCCTTCCCGTGCTGAGGACCCCGAGCTGGACGCAGGGCTCCAGGGGGGTCTCCCCAGAGCGGAGCAGAGGGGCAGAATCCCCTCCCTCGCCCCGCTGCCCACGCTGTGGGGGATGCAGCCCAGGAGACGCTTGGCTTTCTGGGCTGTGAGGGCACATTGCCAGCTCATGTCCAGCTTTTCATCCACCCATACCCCCAAGTCCTTCTCGGCAGGGCTGCTCTCAATCCCTTCATCCCCCAGCCTGTACTGGTACCAGGGATTGCCCCAACTCAGGTGCAGGACCTTGCACTTGGAAGCTGCCCTCATCTCGCAGAGCTCCTCTCCCAGCACTTCTAGAAGCACCAAAAAGTTTCTTGGAAATGAAGACAGCCAGAGGGCACTGCCTGTCCACTCTTACGTTCCTCCGTTCCCCGTACTGCTTCCCTGTAGCCAGCGCCAGCAAGGAGAATACAGACAAAAGTCCAGAGCAAGGCAGGAAAGTAAGCAAGGTACCTGAAGTATGGTGGTCGAGTTTGACCTGTGATTACAGCTATAAATTGCTTAACTTATTTTCCTGCTTGAGGATCAGCTGCGATTGCAAGCAAAGAAATCCCAGTTTAATGTCTACATAGAACATTGGCGTGAGATGCAAAAACCCTGGTTAGCTCTCAGCAGGCTGCTCCGCTGACCGAGGTGCGCCATTACTTTTGTTCTTTTCAGAACAACTACTGTTCATGTTCCAGACGTAAGCAATCTGCTTATCACGTAAGCTTTCTTAACAAGAAAGCTATAAAAAAAAAATCTTCTATCAGTTCTAATTAGAACTGTCACAGGATCCCAGGCCTTTTAAAAGCTTTTTTAAACAAATACATCCAGAAAAAAAGCATCAGGCAGAAATTTGTTAGTTATACTTCACAGTAAGATTCTTTTTATAAGGGATTAATACATGATTAAGGATGACTTTAGTAAATCCATTTATTTATTTAGTATATATATATTTTAGTTATTTCATATACAATATATAACCTATAATACATAACAGATATTTTAATATATGTTTTATTTAAATGTATGCTTTATTTAAATATATACTTTATTTAGGAAATCCATTATTTTAAAGTTTGATCAATAATGTCCTATCATAGCTTACAACACATCTAAAATTACTGTAATATATAACCCATAACAACTTCTCCTGATTTGACTGGAGCCTCACGGAAACACATGTTCCTTTTGGTTTTAATGCCTGGCTTTAAGATTACAATTAACTCTTTCCAATCTGATTACGAATGGATTCTTACTATAATACGTGACAGCAAGGATTGCCTTCACAGGCAAAACTATCAGAGGCATTCAGACTTTAAGTGATTAAATCATAGAATCACAGAATCGTTCAGGTTGAAAAAGACCCTTAAGATCATCGAGTCCAACCGTTAACCTGTCACTGCCAAGCCCATCACTAAACCATGTCCTCAAGCACCGTATCTATCCGTTCTTTAAATACCTCCAGGGACGGGGACTTA